CCGCCTCGGGCGGTGGCGGGGGTGCGGTTGGGGGTGGGGCCGGCGGCGGCGGCGCGGCGGCCGCGGCCGCCGGCGGCGGCGCGCAGAGCGTGCCGGCGCTGGCGATGGGGCGCGCGGGCGGCGGCGGTGGGTCGTCGTCGGCAGTCGCTGCGCCTGTGGAGGGCGGCGTCGGCGCCGGCGCCGGCGCCGGCGCGGGCGAGCGGGCGCTGGCGATCATGAAGATGGCCGAGAAGTTCTCCCGCGACGCGTCGAAGCCTGCTGACGAGGACGTGGCCAAGCGCGTGTTCCACGTCGCGGCGGGGCGGGTGGAGGTGCGGTACCACCTGGGGGAGGGGCGCATCACGGCCGGCCACGTGGTGCTGCAGCGCGACGGCCCGGCGCAGGCGGTGCAGGTGCGGGGCGCGGCGCGGCGCGCCGGGCGGCTGGCGCTGTGGTCTAGCGTCGCCCCTGTGATGTCACGCGGAGTGGCAGAGCTGCGTCGCCCTCTCCTTGGCCGTGGCTTCTTCCAGTTTCATCGCTTGCAGAAGCGACGTCAGGCATCTCTCTCTCTCTAGCCTCTTGCCCAGTAACGCGACCCGCATCGCCGCCCCGTCCTCACACCAATAAACTCGGATCTCGCCCAGATCAACCCCCTGGCCCCCAAGCCGCGCGCCCTGGACCTGCTGCAGCTCTTCCGCACCCTCCAGGCCGCCGAGCGCGACGCGTGCCAGGCCGTGCGCGACAGCGAGTGGGAGAGCCGCGAGATCGCGCGCGTGAGGGCGGGGCAGGAGCAGGGCATTGCGCTGGAGGTGCCCTACTATGACGTGGCGCGCGTCAAGGTGGGCCGGGGCCACAGGCGGGACGGCTCCTGGGGTGGCAGGGTGGGAGGCGGGGCTGGTTTTGGGTCAAAATGGCACACACACCGGAGTCGGAGAAGCTTGCTGGCCAGGACACGGCTGACAAAGCGCGGCTGCACGAACGGATGGAAAGCAGCGCTGCGGTCATCGAACGCGAGGGCACCACCAAGCTTAACGCTTTGTTGACGGGGCAGCCGCAGGCAGCGCCCTGCTGGCTCAGCGCCTCCACCGCTGTCGCGTGCCACTGACGCCCCCGCCGCCGCCGCTCGCGCTGCAGGCGGAGGACAGTGATGACGAGCCGCCCGACGAGGCGTCCTCCGCCGCCGACTACCTCACGCCGTTCCTGCCCCCGGGGCTTGGCGCGGGCGGCATGACGCGCGAGCAGTGCCTGGCGGTGCGGGAGCGCTGCCTGCGGGCCCTGAAGGATAGGCTGGTGCAGCGCGCCAACATAATACAGGTGTCAAGCGATGGCAGGGCCCTGCTGCATGGTCAAATGCGCAAGATGGCGGTTTCCGGTTGCCAGGGCAGTGGCGTGCTTGCTTGTGCGTGCGGGTGCGTGCGGGCATGCGGTTTTTTTGTGGGGTGCGGGTGCCGTGTGGGGACGGCGCGCACAGCGCTCGCGCGTGCGTGACCGGCCAGCCTGTAATTGCGCTTTCTCTGGGTGTATGCATCAAGAGCCTGCCGCACCTGCCGCCCTCCCCTACGAAAATGGCAGGCGCGCTTGGACGAGGAGCAGGCGGCGCTGGCGCGGCGCCAGGCGGCGTTCTCTCGCGACAGGGACATGCTGACGCCCGCAGAGGAGGAGGAGCATGAGGTGGCGGCGCAGGAGGCCGGCTTCAGGATCAACATACTGCAGGTGGCTGCGCGCTGGAGGCCTGGTCGGCTGACGGCAATGGGCGGGCGGCGCCCATCTGCATGTGGCTGCTCATCCGCATCTGGACGCTCCTCCGTCCGCGCGCATGTCCTAATGCTGCTGCCTTCGTGCATGATGTTGCCGCGATCGACCTTTTGCCATGCGGCCACGCCGACTCCCCATGCAGCGGCGCCTGGCGCGCCACGAGGAGGCGGCGCTGTCAAAGTACTATGAGCTGGACCGCAAGCTGCGCAACGACGCGCGGCTCGCGCTGCTGCTTGTGCCGGCGTGAAGTGCGCGTGAGGGACAGCAGGGGAAACCGTAGTGCAATGGGCCAAGCGGCGAAGCGGGTGCTGCTCGGATAGAGTGGGGCAGGTTGAGTGGGCCAGCTGTGTTCTCAGCACGCTGCGCATCCGAGTGTGAGCTCCTACTCTGCAATGGGCACCTGTATGGGTATGTGACAAGGTGTCATTGATAAAGCGTTTGGAGCGCCGCACAGGACAGCATTATATATGTCGGCGGGACACGCGAACATGAAGTGTTGCCTGAGCGTTGCCAGCCGCCTGTGAGCCTGTACCGGTCAAACAATCACTGGCGATGCTGCCTTTCACACTAGATACCAGCTAGATACCGTGGCGTTCTAGATCAACCTACGTTATCATATCAGTTGTCACATCCAGTTATCATTCTACTTGTCCTCGTACGCCCACACCGCTGGTTCGAAGTCTGATCTAGGCGCGATCTGACATGAATCTACTCAGAGCTGTGGTCCGCTGCCCGTGTCTTGCCGCGGATGTCGCCAGGGAGGGTGACGTCCGTCAAACGACGATCGGCATGGAGGAGGGTCTGTCAAAGTGCGGCGCCTGGGCGCAGACGCAAGTCGACGCAGCGGCGGGGCCCTGCGCAGCGCCGAGCATCGGCAAGCAGCTGGATTTTGTTGCCCTGAGGAAGCTCTCCAGAGACATCGGGAACGATCGCATGCCGTCTGCCGAGGAGCTGCCTTCAACAGTCGACGCGCTCCTGGCTGCCCTGGCGGCAGAGCACTGCAATTATGCTGCTCTAGTGCTCGAGCAGCTCATCTGCAAGCTGCCCGTGCACGACATCGCAATCATGCTGCCTGCGCTGGTCGCCCAGCTGCATATTCCCTGCGCATTTGAGGCGGCCAGCCGGGCGCTTGTGCAGACCTTTTTAGGCGGCGACGACCTCGCGCGCTGCGTTGAGATGCAGGGCCTCGCGTCAGCCTTAGTGAAGGCTGGGTGCTCTGGTGTGCATGCGCCCACAGAAATCGTGATGTGGCTGCTCGAGCACCTTGCGCACGTTGGCGCGCACTCGGCGCGCTTGATGATTGAGGCCGACGGACTCCTACCTGCCCTGGTGGATGCGCTACGCTGTGGCACTACTGCACACAGCGCAGCACAGCTGCTGGGAGGTCTTGTTTTTTCAAGCGAGGAATCTGCGCGCTTGGTGGCCGAGGCTGATGGGCTGTTGCCAGCCCTGGTGGAGGCAATTCACTCTGGTAGCACAAGAGCATGCGATGCAGGACACATTCTTGAGCGCCTCACCTCGAAAACAATTAAAGCGGCACGATGTGTTGCGGAATCCAAGGGCATGATACCCGCGCTTTTGGGGGCGCTTGCGGCCCCCGATGTTGGCCAGGCAGCTGCCTCAATACTAGCCAACATTGCTAACAGCAGCGAGGACTGCGCACGCAACATCGTATCTGTGCACGGGGCTCTTGCCACAATTGTAAGGGCATACACGGCACCCAACTGGGGCGTGGGGTCTGTCCTGGCCAGCATCGCTGACATCGACACTACTTCCTGTATGTATGTAGCAACCAATGATAGTGTGCTTGCCACATTGGTGCTCGGACTGTTAGACACGTCGTCTGAGTCACATCACGTGGACAACCTGATATTATCGCTTTGTTGGGGTGGCGCCGCGGAGTTGGTGGCCGCGAGCAGCGCTTTGGTGGCGGCAATCGGGCATGCAGTCGCATTCGCAAGCAAACCGCGTCGTGCATTGATTCTTGCTCTTGAGAACATGTTGGGTTTTTGTGACGAAACCTCCCACGTGGACCTAGCTGCTGCACTCCCAAGTGTAGCGGCAACGTCCCTGGGGCTTCCAACCGGGTGCGACACGAGCGCCTTCCTCGCCGACTCGGCCAAGACGATTGTGCGCACCCTGAGTGATAAGCTGGGCACAGCGGCCATCGCTGCCGCCTTTGCACCGCACCTGGCCACCGCAGACAGCAGCCTACGGGCCGCCGCGCGAGCCTTCCTGTCTGCGCCGCCTTTGTCACTGCCTGACATCACCCTGGACGCGATCGAGCACACTGCACGCAACGCTGCTGCCACTGCTGCGGCGCTGCGCTCCCAGGTGGCCGAGCTTGAGGCCATCCCAGTCAATACGCGCGCCGCCATCGTCGAGCTGGCATTTGCTGTGAGAGATGCCTAACAGTTCTTGCCCCGTTGCTGGCTGTTCAAGACGTGATTCTTTGTGCCATGCATTTGCTGTGCAGAAAGCACCTGCTAGGGTAATCATCAATTGTGGCACCCGCTCAAAGACTCAGCCGACTCCTACTCTTTATGGTGCTGTACGCAGTCTGCAGGTCTGTCTGTGCTCTGCTTTGGCAATGGAGCGCGCCCGCATCGCTTTGCTCCACAGTTGCGCAGGCACATTACATTGCCGTGACCAGGCACTAAGCAGGCCAGGCACCGCCAGGCGCAGCCACCGCACGAGCGCGCCAGCCGCACCCAGCGCCGCCGCCACAGCCGCCGCAGCCACGCGCCGGAGGGGCGCTCTGGCGGTAGCGCCGCAGGCTGGGGCGGTTGTGCTTGAGCCAGGTCGCGCGCTTGGAGGGGGCGTTCTTGTTGTAGCGGCTGCCCTTGCCGTGCAGCCAGGAGGACGGCCTCGTGCAGCGCGTCACCCGCTTAAGCGATGACGCGCACGCGGTGCCGTCAGAGGTGTGCGGGCGGCCGGCGGCTGGCCGCGGGGACGGACGAAGGGGCATTGGGGATTGGGGTGGGTGGTGGGAAGCAGGCAGAGAGGGCCACTTGTCCCAAACGGCCAGCCGGGGGGGGGGGG